CCTATAAGGATGCTGCGGGGTTTTTTTCCCAAGGTGGAGAACCTTGCATTTATCGGCGTTGAACACCATCAGATTCTCGTCCGCCCACTTGCTGAGCCTGTCCAGGTCAGCCTGGATCACCCGTCTGTCTTCTGGTGTGGATGCTTTGCCCCAAAGTTTGGTGTCATCGGCGAACATGGCCAGTCCAGTTCTGACTCCAGTGGCCACATCATTAATGAAGATGTTGAACAGTATGGGTCCAAGGACAGAACCTTGAGGGACCCCACTGGTCACAGGACACCATGATGAGTGACTTCCATCAATTACTACCCTCTGGGTCCGACCCCGGAGCCAATTTTCCAGCCAGTGGATCGTGGAGGATCCAAGGCGACAATTGCCCAGTTTCTCCAAGAGGCGATCATGGGACACCAGATCGAAGGCTTTTTTGAAGTCAAGATATATGACATCAATCTCTTCTCCCTTGTCCAGGTGATAGGTCACCTGGTCGTAGAAGGAAATGAGATTGAAGGTGAGAGATCTCTGAAGGTGTTTGAGAACAGACTCAGAGAACATAGAGAGGAATTAAGACTGGGTGCTAAAGAGCAGAGCCCAGCTAAAATTTGTGAGAGCATGGAAAGCCAGGGACTCAGTCTGAAAGGTGGGTGAGGCAGAGTTAGTGACCTGGAGTCCAGGATTAGATCAGGAGAGAATAGAATTGGATGAACCCAGAGGCTCTGAGAGGAACTGAGAGAGAGAGAGAGAGATATGAGAGGGTTCTTCAGGGCCCTAGATGGCCAAGTGATTTGGCAGTCCAGAGAAGGGGCACAGAGAAAAGAACACTGTTAGAGCTGGGAGCCTACAATCTCAACTGGCCCAAGGAGGGGCCAGGAAGTCCAGACATAAGAGACTGTGCCCATGAGGAGTAAAGAACACCAGAACAGGAGAGTGGAGAGTTTGGTCCTGGGTATGACCTGAAACTGCCACCCTCCTGGGTGTGGTTAGTGTGGTGGAGCTACCCGTAGCTGGGAAGACTCTGCAAAATGTTGCATAATAACCACCCTGGGGAATGGGCAGGGGCAAATATAGGACGCCTTAAAACTCTAGTTCTCATTGCCTTGTGGGTTACCCTTCATTGGGAAAAGGCTAGGGGGAGTATACTCCAACAGGAAAACCCTTGGTGAAGGCCAGGAAAGAGATGTGTGGCAGACATACACCTTGAACCTGTCACTTTGAGAGGAGAGCACTGCTTTAAAAGCAGCCTCTGCAGGGTGCAAAGAAGGGAAATTTTTGGATGAGTGCCAGCTTGGCTATAGGCCAAGCAAAGCCAGCCACAGTGTACCAGCTCAAAGTAAACTAACTGAGAGAGGTGAGCCCCTCCCTTTTTGTCTTTGTGTTTTGCAGGATGGAACCACCGCTGAAGCATCATGAAGTCTGCTGGGTACAAAGAGGAATCGAGCTTGACTGTTTTGTGTAATAATTGTGTTTTGCTATATCTGTAAAATGCTATTGCTATAAGTGACTGTGATGTCAACTATGCTGGACTATGAAATGCAAAGCAAAACTTCTTGATAGGCTATAAAATACCTGTAGAATGGCTACAAGAAATGGTGCATCATGCAGAGCATCACCTCCATGACCTCACAGAGTTCAGCCATGCCAAAGATCAAGAAGGCTGGATTGATTGTTTGTTTTATTGCCATCTTTTCTTTTCTTTTCTTTGCTTTTCTTTTCTTTGTGTTAAATATGTATTTTAGCTTGTATAGTAGAAATAGTAATGTAACATAATTTTATTAATTCCCAGAATTTGTGCAGAGATTGGGAACACAGTAAAATGATGGAATCCCAAAGAAGATGAGGGCCTTTCTTTGCAGACAGCACGCCTGGTTTCCATGGTTGGTTGGGAAAGTCCTAACCCTTCGCATTTCTCCAGCCTTTTTACAGGATGGAGGGGCTTTGGTAGTACTACAATGGCATCGAGCATCCAGTTGGAACAGCAAGAAAACATTACCCAGTATACAGGAGGGTTAAAGTTGCCAAGGACATGTCTGGTCCTCAGAAACTGTGATTATGAAATGTTTTTTTTCTGATCTGAATAGTCATCTTGACAATCAGATAAGACACTGACTGCAGAGTGACATGCTACCTGAAATGCTGTGTAAAAGGTTTGGTAGGCATCTCAGACTGTACATTCCCCAGTTCCAGTATGGGAGGCCTATTTAAATCTAATTGGCTAAAACTCGGTTGCTGGACTAGGGAATGCTGAGGCAAGAGACTGAGTCAGAGGGGGTATGGGCAACATTAGAACAAAGGATAAGGGTTCATTGCAGCGTCTAGCCTGTTGGAGCCCATGATCGCAAATGCTGTCATACTTTTCCTGGGATGACTGGTGGAGATCCTCCCCAAACATCACATGGACATTCCAGGTGATGCCAGTGATTATGCTCCAGTATAGTGTGAAGATATATCTTCAAGGAGGGGATATGTTGGCTTAGAAATGGTATTTAAAGGCCTGTTTTGGGGGGAATTGGCTTATAGGTATAGATATATGCATTATAAGGGGTCAAGATGGGCAGCAGGGGTTAAATGGATTTCTAAAGAGCTTGGGAGATACACACACAGCTTCTCATGGCCCTGAAAGTAGACAGGATGTCTAGCACAACAAGGCTAATGGATGGACACAGCCTGAGAATGAAGGGGGGCATGCCATGACACAAGATCACAGCCTTCAAGGCAGATGCATTTTCTAACACAACAAAGACATATAGTCTAGGAAATAGCCTGGGAAGCAAAGGAAGTATGTCTCATAACACCAGATAAGTGACCCCAGCAACAAGGCCTCAGAGAGCAGGGAGGCCTAAATCGCAGTTTTGGGGGAACAGACCAAACTACGAGAATACCTGGGAAGCTACGTGGATGTGTGACCACAGAGAGATGGCCAACCAGAGATAGCCATGGATGAAGAAGCATCAGGAGCCATCAAGGGGGAAGGAGAATACAAAAGCAGAGACTTGAGAGTAACAGAGGGTGCTTCTCATCCCTCCCTGTTCTTTCTTGTCCCTCCCTTTGTCCCGTCCCTCCCCATTTTGAGAGGGGTCCCCATCCCCATTCCTGTCTCCCGGGAAGGGTCCCCGAGGCCACCATGGATCGAGGATATACCAGTAGCCTGTCTCATGCACACCATTGGAGGGGGGCTGTGGGCCTCAGCATCCCACCTCCAGACTCCTGACACCTGAGAGAGAGAGCCTCAGAGTGCAGCCCGCATCCTGACCAGATGCACTTTGACTCTGATGACAACCCTAGGATTGGTAGATAAAGAATTGTTTGATTGTTTGTATTGTTGCTTTTTTTGTTCTTACTCTGTATCAGTAAAGAGGGGTCCCCATCCCCATTCCTGTCTCCCGGGAAGGGTCCCCGAGGCCACCATGGATCGAGGATATACCAGTAGCCTGTCTCATGCACACCATTGGAGGGGGGCTGTGGGCCTCAGCATCCCACCTCCAGACTCCTGACACCTGAGAGAGAGAGCCTCAGAGTGCAGCCCGCATCCTGACCAGATGCACTTTGACTCTGATGACAACCCTAGGATTGGTAGATAAAGAATTGTTTGATTGTTTGTATTGTTGCTTTTTTTGTTCTTACTCTGTATCAGTAAATTTGCCTATTATCGACTGGCAGGTGTTGTGGACAGTCCGAGGGTTGTGCCTGCCCAGAACAAAAGAATAGGTGCTGGGTCCAAATCCAGTGTCAACAGATGAAGCCCCTACAACCAATTGTTGTTGAAGCCCCAAGCCCAGATGCTAGATCCAATGGTTTTGCACCTATCAGCTGGATTAAATCTGAGGGCTATAGGTCGCTGACCCCTGCTCTAAAAGGAAGAAAGGATCAGCAAAGCAGAATTATGTGTAACAACTCAACAAGAGTTTTCACACATTTTCTTGAAAATGACATTTTAGATGCTTAATATTTTCATAGGCTGTTTTGAAAATCTCGGCCTGAAAGTTTTGGACTATGGCTTCTCAATAAAATTTTCAGAAAGTACTTTAGAGACTTAGGATCTCAAGTCCCAATGACTTTCAGCTCTTTAAGACACTTAAGAACATCTGGCATTTTTGCTCATTGTTTTAAAAGGTTGGAAGACTTTAAAAGACAAGCTCAATTAATTTACTCTGAACTGACATATAAGGTACTTGAGTAGTAGAATACACCAATATGTGTAAAGATTCTTTCCTTACTGGATCTATCCTAAAGGATTTTAGGATCAGGACTTTTTAGCCACGTGCTAACTGAAGACAGTTTCTGAACTGTTTTAGAATCAACATCATTATCATCATCACCACAAAGCAATGAATAGCTCTAACAAGAGACACAGTGGCCATGTCTACACAAGCAGCGGACTGCACAGTTGTTACTGTGCAGTCATTTAGTACTTGCATAATCAAGTACATGACTGAACAGTAACTGGTGTCACATCACAATTAGTGTCCGCCAATGCCACTGTGCAGTAGCAATGAGCAGTAGTACTGTGCAGTAGCATCTTGTGTAGACATGCCCAGTATGTGCCAAATTAGAAAAGACCAATTATTGTAAAAAGGATTTCCAAGAAAATAAAATTGAAAAAATTAAAAACAAAAAACAAAGACATCTACAATGCACGTGGCCAGTTGTATGAAAATTCTTTCCTGACCTCTAGTGGCAAAAGGATTATTTAATAATATTAGCTCGCCCTTACATAAGTGTGAATAAAACTTATGCACCAATCATAAACTTACGTATTATATTCTTAAATCTGCCTACAGCTCTCTGACCTCTTGTAACAGTAAAATGGCAGGCTAAGAGCCTGCTTTGTGAAAAACTATTTCATTTCAATAATTCCCATTAACTTCCTTGAGCTGATCTTTTATCATGTGGCATGTTAAAAAGGAAGGCTGATCATCTTTTTTCATACTTTTTAAACTATTCATTGAATATGGTTCACTAATATCAATCACTAATATTGGATAGCATGTTACTTGACTAGGACTATTAGTTCAATAGGCAGAAACACTGTGTAAATATATACTTGAGATAAAAATGTGTATTTATGTAACATTTCTCTACTTGTCAGGTTCTTAACACTATACCCATCACTGTAATGTCAGTACACTTTCCTGAATTAATTGCTTGCATTTGTTACTCATTTCTTACTTTCTAACAAGGCAGAATCAGTGTGGATCCTTCTCATGTCTGGAAACAAACCTAGTTTTAATTACAATTATTGTTTGGTATTTGCATTGTAGTGGTGCTCTTGGGTCCTAATTATAGATCAAGTACCCATGGTTCTAGATGTTGCACAAACATAACAGACAGTGTACAAACAGGTTTGCTTTGTTCCAGTAACTAGATCTCATCTAAAGTATTTGAATGCAGAAATTTATTTTGAACTCTCATTCATTAATATTTAAACTGACAAACATAAATACAGATTAACGCCCCTCCACCCCGTTCCTAATGCATCTGATTGGTGAAAAATAGGTTGTACTTAAATTACAGTATCACTTCCCTCATCCTTCCCCCCAGCTTGATTATTAGGATCCACTCAGACTTAGCAAAAGTAAAAACAAGAGCAACTTACATAGGTCAAATCAGTTACTTTTTCAAGTCCTTTAGTTTCATTGTGTTCACAGGATTCCCGTAACCAGTGTACATGGAATTGATTCATGCTGGGGTCTAAATGGATATAAAAAAGATAGGTAAAAGGAGAGATATACATTACAGCTACCTTCAGCTTTCCTGGCTTTTTGCATATCAAAATGAAGATTTTAAGTTCTTAAGAACTTGGGGGCTGTCAGTTCCTCACCATTCATAAGCTCTTAAAATCCCCACAAATGAAAAAGGAAAAACGTATGCATGTCAATAATTTAATGAATGTATTAACACAAGGAGGGGTAAGTAACAAAAATGTAAGTATCCCTTGTTGGGAGCACTGAAACGTGGACTTATACTGCGAAATATCTGGGGAATGATAGGAATGACTCTGTACCAACAACCTGAAACTGTTTACATCGCCAGAGCATTGCATGGCATCATTCTGGAAATCTGTGTTTGGTGTGAAAATGCCATATTTCTCTGAACCTTTTACTCTCAGATTAAATTGTGAAACCTCCTTCACAAGTTGCCAAGTGAAAGTCTAGTCATGACCATGATGAACAATAAAAAAAACCCGATATTGCTCCCTTTGAAACCAATGGCCAAACTCTCATTAACACTAGTGGTGCAGGTTCCTTAAAAGCAATTTCAGAACTATCAAGCAGTTTCCCATGTAAATTCCTGGAAAGCTCCATATATCATTGCAAGGATAGGCAATGCATGAGAAAGCAGATTGCAAGAGAAAGCAGACTACAGTAAAACAAGGAGCAATAGGGAAATAAGACAGAAAACGCATCGAGTGGTACAAATATATCTTGTCATTTTCCTGGATTCAGTATTCAGATATCTGTTTATTGTGGCTGTAAAAATTACATGTCTGTTATTACTAATTAACTTGGTATGCCACAGCTGCTCGTACCAAGTGCCTGATTGTGGGTTTCAGGAGGGGAAGCAAATATCTTTGATGGCTGCCGGGCTGATTTGGCAATAGATTGCTCTGAGCAATTTGGAAGCAGAAGAAAAGAATTACAAATTAAAGAGAAAATAAGTAGTCACACAAATGGTATTTGGTAGGAAATACTGATTGGAAACTTACTCAAAATGGCTTTCTGTAGCAGCTCTCTTCATAACATATGTGCTAATTATTTCATGACTGCTTTTGAAGCCGAAAGTTTTTCAATAAGAAGCAAACTAAGAAATAATGGGCTGTGCCCTGATTGTTCTCTCTCATTTAAAAAGAAATAAATTGAGGGGTTTTTTCACTTGCATCTGATCACCAGGGCTTTGCCATTTGACATGCCTGTTAGACTGAGAAACAAACTTGCAGTGCATCTGTGAGCAGGTTTCATCTGATTTCATCTGCTGTGATTCATTCAATTATTGCCTATTGCTCGCTCCCTCTTCTGAGACAAGAACACAGGACGTGCAATCCATCACCTGGCTTCTAGGGATCTGAAAACTCACAATTGTTATATTAACCATCTGTAGTCTTTGCCAAATGACTACACAGTAAATCCTCTTATTGATTACATACTATTGCATAATTAGGAAATCATCCCTTTAAATACACTTACACGAGATGGATCATTTTCAGATCAATGTAAGCTATACACGCAGCCTATTTACTAGTTGCTATATAGAAGTAGTACTATAGCTTTGTCACAGAATGACTAACTGAACCCAGGTTACTGGTCCATTATAATCTGGACAATACCACCACAATTCAATTTAGGCTGCTAAATACCACCAGATCACACACAGTAAAAAAAAAGAATCCTTAAAGCTTTGGAAGTTATCTTTGGTTAAGTATCCTAACATACTAATCCAGAAGTTTAGCTAATTCTCTGTATGGAATTCTCATGTAAATCAGGTTTTCAGACAAAATTTGATGTATTTCCAGATTCTGGCAATATAGGAAGCTTATTGGGACTATGGGAATCACTCCTGTTCATTCTCCAATTTACCTGAGATGTCCCCTTGGGCACATACCAATTGTTGCATATTTGTAATATTTATAATATGTTCTGTTAAACGGGAAAAGAAAGAGAAAACCACCATGACCTATATGTGAGTTATCATAGTTAATGTTCCAGCAACAAAATGACCTCTGAGCACTGAGACATGGTTACTGTATGAAAAACCAATAGCAACATTTCTTTTTTTTTCAGTTTAACACACTACTGTGAATAATTCAAATATTTGTTTGGACAAATATATTCTTAGCTAAAGCTGACATGGGTAATGAAAGCTCCAGCTAGGGCCCGCCAAATCTTTCCATTCTAAAGGTTCATTTTCAGCAGATTGAATTTTCTAAATTTTTTTGTCCTGAGGCTGAAATTTTTCAGGTTTTTTCTCTGTTTTGGTGGTATTTTTCTTTTTTCTTGTTTGGTCCCTTTGAATAACAAGACATTTGGAACAAAAATAATTACATTTACCAACAGTATTAACAAAACTTTCCTTTCTATAAAAAAAAAACTTGTGACAAATCACAGCGATTTGGACTGACACATAGAAATATGTATGGGAGATAATCCATATTTCAGAGAGATTATTTTTAACAGCTGGGAGAAAAGCAGATATTTTTAATTTGCCTGAATTACACAGAAAAAAATAATTCTTTTTTACAAGATCACCTTTTAGAACTATCCTAACATACTGGAAAATAAAATGATACAAAATGAACTTGTATAGAATAATGGACAATTCCAAGTAAAAAAAAAATAAAATTACTCTGAAAATGCATTTCCTTTTTCTCTGTTGTTGTAGTTAGCATGTGAAGAACATGACTCTAAAATTTATATGCACGCTATACAGCTGTATCTTTGATAGTTGAAGCTGTACATCTGACAGCTTTAAACATGTGAAAGAAAACTGTTATATAACTATTTCTAACAGCTATGTGCATTTGTTCGCCAGTCTCACACCACTGCTGTGCCTTTATTTGATTGTTGTTCCTGTAGTAATAGTAATAGGAGTTGTTCATTTTGTTCATTCCCAGCCACAATCATGGCAGCAGGAACTCCTGCTAATAGTGCAAAGGCAGTCAATTCAACCAATTGGGAAATGATTGGCTAGGCTGCAGTACTGCAGAAAAGGGCCTGGGGGTTATAATGGACCATAAACTGAATAAGAGCAAATGGTATGCTCTTGCTGCAAAAAAAGAGCCAGTAGCTTATTTAGCTGTATTTAGCTGTACTAATAGGAACTTCACTTGCATGTCAAAAAGTAGGTGGACAAATTAGAAAAAAAGGTTAACAGAAAACAACAAAAAGTTATTAGAAGCCAAGATAGCTTGACTAAAAGGTTTAAAGAACTGATGATTTAGTCCAGGGAAGAGAAGGCTGAGGCACAGTCAAGTATCAGAAGGGTGGTTATAAAAAAATGGTGACTGCAGGGAACAGGGCATGGAGAAAGTCTTAAATTGCAATCAGGTAATTTAGGTTCCCTAAGAAGAAGAGGATGGTTAACAACGTGGCCAATAACACATCCCCAGAATACAGGACAACCCCTTGGTTAGGGGTGGGACCACTGGTCCCTTTGCTCAATTAGAGGTGAAGGGTGGGGTCACTGCCTCCTCAGCCAATCAGCAGCAAAGGGCGGGGCAACCCTCCCTCCCTGGATCAGAACCCTGAATGATTGACAGTATTCCCACTTGTGACAGAACACCTCTTTGGGTGTCTGTCACTTTAAGGGCTGGAGCAGGGAGCTGTCAGGTGGCTGATGATAGCGGCCATTTTCGAGAGCTACCATTTTTGAGAGCTATGTTTTAAAAACAGAGCAGTTTGTGTTCAGCTGGCTGGGGAGTAACATTGCCTGGTGGAGCTCTTGCTCCAGGAATATCTCAGAGGTAAGGGTGAGGCTATGGGGAAGGAGGAGGCCTCATTGGTCCTGGGCATGACCTAAAACTGAACCCTGTTGAGATAGAGAGGTCTGGTGGGACTGCCAGTGGTGCAGCAGCCCCACACAAATACCAGGACTGCTCACCTCCCTGGTGAAGGTTGGGTAAGGGTGCCTGAATAACCCCTGCCCCCACCTTTGGGTGGGTTATTAGGAGGGTTGAAGGGAGCCAGGCATGAAAAATAGCTGCACCTGAGCCCTATGCGGTGTTGCATCCTGCAGTGAGGGCCAGGCATGCTGAGTGAGCAGTACCTGAGCCCTAGGGGTGTAAGACCCTGGCCCTGGGTGAACGTGGAGTCAAGGTCAGGCATGCTTAAGTGAGAGAAGCACTTGAACCTGTCAGGGTGGAAGACCCCAGGCCCCAGAGAGTAGGGGGCAGAGTTGTGACCCAAGGGAGGGGCATAATGGTCCAGTGAGGGGCCAGGGGCAAAGCAGGCCAATAGTTGAGTAATTTCTCAGTCCCGTTCAGGTGAGGGTCACAGAAGTGGCCCAAAAGACCATGCCAGGGCTGACTGAAGGGAAAAGAGAAAAGCCTGAGGATCTCTCCAGAGGAGGGTGGAGCGAATGTGGCCTGAGTAGGCAGTATGTGAGAGGCCCTTGTGAGAGAGGGGCAGAGTGTGAGATGCCCTTGTGAGGGGGAAGTGGTATGTGTGTGGTTTGAGAAGGCAGCATGAGAGAGATACAAGCATGTGTCCAGTTGGACCTGGCTTTGAACCGGAGATGGAACATACTGTGAGGCATCAGCAAGGCATGGGACATGTGTAGGGATGGTAGGAGTGTGTACTTATTGACCACGGTTATCTGGGAGCATGAAGGGCAGCCTCCTGCCTAGTAAACATCCCAATCATTCATCAACAAGCCAGGCAGTTTGCCCAGAGACAAGGGCGGGCCATACTAGTACTGAGCCTGGAAGGTGCCCTTGCCACACCAGTAATGAACTGAAAAACAGGACTTGTTGCAATCTATTCCTTATTCAGAAATGGACAGGAATAATGGGTTTAAAAACAGAATGGTCCAGTATAAAACAGGACCAATGACCATCCTAATGGCTAAGCATGGCAACAGTTTGCTAAGAGAATCTTGATCCTTGGAAGTTTTTAAAGGCAGGTTATACAAACAGTTGTTTTGAACAGTTTAAACAGAAGTGATCCTGCCTTTATCAAAAGCTGAACTAGATGAACTTC